AATCAATACGATTACTTAAAATAATATACTTTAAAAATTGTCTGAAAATTGGAGTATAGTAAAATGTTCGAAAGAAAAAACGATTAAGTGTACATATTATTCGCTTTGCATTAATATATATTTTTTTTAATATTCATCAGAAAAACATCATTATAATGCATAGACATGTATTAAAAAGCTTTTTATTCTGTTCTTTAATTAAAACGAGTCTTAAAATTTGGCAGAAGGACTTATTCTTCTAAACAGTGTGAAAAAAGCAAGATATTACTCTAAATGATCAGGAATTGAAATGTTCTAATGATCAGAATGTCAAAATTTATTTGTACAATCTTAATGCTTCGAGGGCTTAACCTCAAATAGCTCATTAATTAATTAGTGCAAATGATATCAGGTAACGAAATCAGATACAAAAACACATTTTCCCTGAATAAATATAACTTTGTTTTTGTCAGTTGGAGTTATGGCCCTTATAATATAGGGGTAGCCGCTATCTGGAAAACATGGTCAAAATAGTTTAGCCAGGAGTGGTAAATGATTGGACCCTTTGATGTTAATTTCTCTTTTTGCATGTTTCGTCACATTACGGGATATTTTTTATTTGATTGTAAAAATGTTTGAGGACAATTATACAGTTTGTTCATCAAAAGATAATTCCATTGAAAAAAAAAGTATTTTAATTAAAAATTAAGATATTTTTCATTTGATAATTGACGAAAAATCCTTGTATTACAAGGAATAAAATTTTTTACTCCATTTTAAACTATGTAGTTTGAAATGACAAAATACAATGTTCGAAATCAATGATTTGTGTATAGTTATTGAGAAAAATAAAAATAGAAAAAGTACGTTTTTGTAATTTTATTATCTAAACTATTTTATTTTTTATGTTGCTATTTAATAAAAACAGTTTAAAATTATGTAAAAATTCATGTACCTTGAAATTCAAACTTTTTATGACCATTCTCAAATAAAATAATAATTAAAACTTATTTTTCATATGGAATTATCTTTGGATAAACGAAATTGATATTTATGCTTAAAAATATTTCGATTCGTTTCGAAATTCTTTAGATACTGTGAAATACGCAAAAAATAAAATTAACATTGAGGGGTCCAAACTTTGATCCGATCTCCGGAATAAACTATTGGAGCCATGTTTTCCAGATCTCTCATAATTTGATGACCAAGAATCCATTTAACTTCCATCAGATTCAAACTTATATAACTGTTACCTATTGTTTTTCATCGTCTCTCTGTCACGTAATATTTATTTATTGTAGTTAAAGGGGGGGGGGAAACCCTCTTAGATCTACTTATGCCAAAAAATTACCATCTTGATTTTTTCCTTATTTTTTCATGCGCTATCACTTTGTTTCTACGGGAAAATGACTAAGCACGTTTTGAATATTTTAATTAATTAGTTATATATTTTTAGGTGAATTTTGCCAAAGTGATACAACATTCAAAATGGATGATTTATATCTCTGGCCTGCAGCTGGGGCAAGATAAGCGTCAGTGAAAAAATAGCAGCTAAATTTATTTTCAGAAAAAAACGGTTTCATTCAGTTTATAATAGAAAATAAAACTTGAAAGCAAATATAAATTTTATAAATTCTAAAGAAAAAAAAAACGAAATTTTTCTGGAAATTTCTTTTACATAAAATTTACCAAAAAAGAAGAAAAAAAGCAATATTTCTTTAATTTTAGTAAGTTCATAAAATATGACAGAGAAAGAGAAATATATAGAAAAATGTAAAATATTATCATTTTTTTTTAAATTTCAGTAGAATAATTTTTTAAAATCTAAATTGAAAAGTATTTAAAGTCATCTAAGCATCTTTGAATAAAAATTTAATTTAAAACATTTCCCCCTCAATTTTTACTATTAAAACTGCTTGAATATTCAAAAATACACATTTTGAATGGCTTCTTTTTTAAAAAAAAGATTGCAAGTAAAATTGATCATATTTTAAAATAATACTCTGATTACCAAAGTAATGCTTAGTCAGTCAAACTAAATTATTTCACAACATCTAAAACGTGGTATCTTACTAAATCTCTCTTTTATAATAACTATCAAACAAATATAACTCAATAAGAAAATCGAGAAACAAACTAAGCAAAACAGCAAATAATTGACATTAATAAATAAAACAGTAACTAAAATTGTAATTTTAATTCAATCTACTTCAAATTAAAGAATACACTCAATGGATACTATGTATTAATGCCTTAAGAGATAAATCAGTATAATCTACACTTTCCCCCCTCTAACATGGAGGTTATCAAAGAAGCTATTGAAAAAGAGGTACAAAGTCTGATAAGACCATGTCCTTGATTAAACTACCATAATCTGTTTGCATTGAAATTCGAAGCAGTAATAATCAGAATCAAGTTATCTCAATTCAAATTTCAGGATATTTTTTTAACATCTATTTTAAATGTCCTCATTTGCAAGAAATAGAATATTTCTATGGAAACAATTTTAGAAATTTATGAATCCAAGTAAACGTTTTGATAACTGTTTCTACATTTATTTATATTAAAGAAGAGACTAAATTAAACCTCGCTTCATAAATTTTATGAATTTCAACGGTAGAGCTAAGAATTTTATTTTGCACGATCCGAAAGCGGTTATACGGCGCCAAATACATAATGTAATCAAAGTAAGGAAATCAACAATGTTAAAAACTAAATATGATATAAAAAAAGAGAAAAGGGTGGATAATCGCATCTAGTCATGAATCAATTACAAGAAATAAGAAGAAAAAAAAAGAGATTTACAGGTTTAAGAGAAACAGACATTTGAAACCCATAAATGCAAACAATCGAAAATCACAAGCGATATTGGCAAATAAACTGATTTAATTTTGTCTGTTTGAATGAGAATTATTTTCAAGATTTTTTTTAAAAGAACATTAATAAAATCGAATACAGTACTTTTTTCAATTGAAATAAAATAAACTTAATTGTGAATGTATAAAAGAACTAATTTTCGGTGTATACGAATTTCTATACTTTATATTGGCCATAATATAACATTAACATTTTACATGAAGCAGATGATACAGTTTTTTTCGTCTAATTATCTCGTATTATACTATTGTATATTATATACTCGTATTCTATTACTGTTGATTATATCTTTGTTGCTTAACTGTTATTTTCTTTAAGGAAAAAAAAAAAAAAAACTGATTTTCAGCACAAATTTAGAGCATAATATATTTTATATATTTAACTTTTTCGCACTTTAATCAGACAGTTTTAAGTATAAAAATGACATTTCTAAATTTCAATTGTATTTTTAGCATATTTTGAAATTTTAATTTCTCTGAAATCTTATGTAAGCTTTTTTGCAGAAACTCAGAAACGGTACAGAAAAGATAATAAAATTTTTGAACTCCTAATTTTTGTATGCAAGTTTATAATTTGAAGTAATATTTTACTTAATACCAAAAACTCTTGTTTTGTATTGGTTTCAATTGTTAAATCTTTGTTGAAAAATGTGATTTTCATAGTAATATGGCAATTTATTAATGTAATTAAATCTCGTTTTAATCATTTAGAAGCTTGTTTAGAAATTTTAAAGTAAGTATGTTTAAATTTTAGAAGGAAATTAATGAATTTCCATATGTGCTTATAGCATATGATTTCAGTATATTTTGGAAAAAAAATTAATTTTCTATAAAAGTTATTAAAATTGAATTTTTTTATTTCAAGTTGTCTATTTAATGCATGAAAAACAAAAATAAGAGTTTTTCTTACACTGAATTATGAATCATTTTTTAAAGAGAAATTAACGAACCCTATAGCTAAATTTTTTTAACCTCATAATCAGATCGTTTTACGATATAATGCTCTTAATATTGCAGTAAGATCAATATCGGCTTGAAATAAAATTAAAGAAAATAATTACAATTAAGAAAGAATAAAAGCAATCTTAAAAAAAGAATTATTAATTTCAAATTTGCAACTTAATTTGAGTTTTATTCAATACATATTTTCTATGTTCCCCATTGATTATCTTATATATTTTCCTTTGCAGTGTCTTGAAATAAAGGAATAGTTTGATAACTTTAATATGATTGAAAAAGTATAGATTAATCAATAAATTAAAAATGAATTGTTTACTATTTTGTCGTAACAACACAATAATGTCGATTGAGGAACAGAAGTAGTATAATTTATAACCCAGAAATGCAATGTCGAAAACTTAAATTTAAATACGCTTTATTTCAGAATTAAACTAAATTGCGATTTTTTTTTCAATGCTTATGTTTCTATTGGATAAAAGAGAATAGCAGTTACTATATTTAACATAGATATTACAANTGTTTTGTCTGTAGAATGTTTGTTCTACTCTCGTGTGCCCTGAATAGGGCGGGTCGAGGTATTAATAAACAATATATATATATATATAAATGAGAAATGTTTAGTACAAAAAAAAACAGTCTAATAGATACTAAAAAAAATCTTAGATTATCGGAATTATTCTAAATCGGTACTAAAATATAAAATCCAAAAAAAGAAGTCTGAAAAATGATTTTCACTCATATTCAAAAATTTATCAATAATTGATTTTGTAAACTAATGAAATTTTAATGATAGATAACGGTTTTTCTTAGATCTAAGTAACTGCAAATAAGTGCAAATTTGAAAAATTATTGTTTGGAAGTGAGCTGTGTTGTTATGATTTTACCTGTAACTCAGAAAAAGACACCGGCGTTTCATGCTATATTTCATAACTATAAAATTATTAGAATGCTAAATATTCGTCATTTGTTTTGACCTAAATTAATACAAAATAATAAAAAACGTGCGAAAGATATGTTTAGTAAAAATTCTACTTCAAAGAGTTAAAATAAAATAAACAATAATGCAAAAAAAATCGATAACTTAATTTTACCATAATTGGATTTTGAGCACTATAATTAGGTAGTGCACTTATTTTCAAAACCATAAATATTATGTTTTAATAGTAAAACTTTAAATGTACTTACGATGTAATTAAAAACTTCCGATTATTTGCCCTTGTTACGACGATAAAGTCACTGAGAAATAAGAGATCAGATTCACTCAAAAGAAGACGAAAGCATGTGACATTATCATTCATTGGACGTTTCCTTACGCATGTTGTTTATCAGCTGATTACACTGTTCAACCGGCATTTTACACTGAGAATGGGGTGTGTGCATAAACGTGAGACATAAGTACAGTGCGTATGAGTTGCGTACTAATTCGTCATGTTCGAGGATAGAATTTTCACTCGAGTCGAGCCCCTCTCTGGGCCAAGGACGTTAATCCGGCGCCCGAATTTCGCTCTAATACATTTTGATCACTTCATCTTGTTTCTTAAACGCCGATGGGCGAATTTTATTTAGACGAAATTGAAAGAAGTCTCGCGTTTTTTCTTTTCTTTTTTTTTTCTCTTTTTATTAACACATGATAGACTGGTTTTTGGAAGTCAAATCACATGTAAATGTTATTTTTCTTTTTTCTACTCGTGTACTCTGTCTCGGGGGTGAAAGCTCTAAAATTAATGCAGTGAAACTAAATATAGTTTTCAAATTGATCTCAGAATGTTATGAAAATATTTTATTGTTTTTCCAGAAGCGAAAAATAAATAGATACAGAAAATAAATAATAAAATAAATAAAATAATTAAATTAAGAAAATAATTAAATTAATAAAATAAATAAAATAAATAAATAAAATAATTAAATAAATGAAATAAACAAATAAATTAAACTATTAAATAAAATAAAATAAATAAATTAATAAATAAAATAAATGAATTAATTTATAATAATGTAAATAAATTTATAAATAAATAAATAAAAAGAGAGGTGCGCCGTCTCCAGAACTCAGTTTTTTGAGAGAAATAAAATTGCCTTTATATAATTGCCAAAACGAAAACACATTGGAGAAAAAAGAGAGAAGTTGTAACTCTACAATAAAACTGGTAAAACATTTTATATTTTTAAGAAATAAAAAGTTTTATTTCTATATTATAATTGTATTATAATATTATAGTTATTTCATTATCTAATTATATAACAATATTATAATTATTAGAAGAATTTTTTTTAAATTTATAAATTCTTAAGTATATAATGCCTTGTGTAAATAATAAAGTTGTTTGGTTTAATTTCTTTCGATTAGGCCAGATTTTTAAACAATAGGTTCTAATCAAATAAATAAATAAATAAATAAATAAATAAATAAAAATACCAGGGATTGCCCAAAATAAGTCAACAAAACTTCTAGTGAAAAAAATATTCTTCATTGTACGTTATTAAATTACCTTAATTTGGAAAAAGAGTATATGGATTTTAGAAAATATTACTTAATACTAAAATTACTATGACGATCGTTCTATTTCTTAAAATTCGTAAGCGTAATGATATTTTCTAATCAGGAATGAATCAGTGAACGAGTATTTGATTGAGTGTGTGACTTAATGAGTCACTAATTACCATTAATGCTAATTTTATAGTTCAGTAAAAAGTGTTGCAATTCATGTGGGTGAATCGAAAGTAGATAAAATGAGTCAAAAACTTACAATTTCATTGTTATTTTTCAACTGTTAAGTAAAACCGTAAAGTTTTTAAAAATAAAATTTTCTGTATTAATTCTATTTTAATCTGTATTTTGTTTTGTCTATTTAAGGGGAAAAAATATCTTTCGTCTTAAATTAAAAAAAAGAAAAACAAAATTTGCATTGAAATAGAAAAATGGGACTAAAGTAAAATAAATTCTGAAATGATAATTTTTCTTTTAACTAAAAGACTGAGATACATGTCTAATGTTCTCTCTTTTTCAAGGCATTTTAAGTTTCATTTTACCTTGATTTTAGAATATGTTTTATGAATCAGGTATAATATGGTAATGAAACACACGAAAAAAATACTTTCTAATTTATTAACTTTCAAATTATTAAAATAAAAATGTATTTTTTCCACACTTGAACTGTAATTTTTTTTATAGGGTTTGGAAATTGTTTTTTTCTTTAAAAAATATGAAACAAAAATTATAACAAATACTCTTTATCTTAATGTGATTTTAGCGAATGGAAAGTTTGAATTTATTTTCTTTTTAAATAATTTTCTGTTTATATTTTTCGATTTCTTGGGACTTAGTGAAAGTCTCCGTATGAGATACATCTAATAAGGCAAACATAACTAGACAGGTATAGTTATATAAAAGTATAAAAAAATAAAATTCGTAAATTGTTGTTGTTGTTACTTTACGTCGCACTAGAGCTGCACAATGGGCTATTGGCGACGGTCTGGGAAACATCCCGGAGGATGATCCGAAGACATGCCATCACAATTTTGATCCTCTGCGGAAGGGATGGCACCCCCGCTTCGGTAGCCCGACGACCTGCGCGCGAAGTCGAGCACTTTACGGTAGCACAGTTTAACGAGGACTGATACCGCACACCCTCGGTCCCTACGCAGACTGATCCAAGTGGTCACCCACCCGCACACTGACCGTAGCCAGTGATGCTTGACTTCGGTGATCTGCTGGAAACCGTGTCTTAACGATCAGTCCACTGCGGGACAAAATTCGTAAATAAATAAAATGCTGTATCTATTTTTTGTGATCATCTTTTTTCCTAAGTAAAAAATGTTTTTTGTGGCAATAACACCGATGAACTCGAAATTGAAAAATCAAAACATCATATCACCTGTGGCGGATCACTGATAATTTATTTTATGATGGTCTAAATAAAATTTTAGTGGTTCCACTAAATCGATTTAGCGAAAATACTAACATTTTATCCAGATTACTAATTATGAATTTCAGTACTAATAAATTTTAGTAATTCACTTATTCTGTGACCTCACAGTTATGTAGTGAATTTCATTTCTCATAAAATGGTGGAAATATTGGGATTTAATTGAAATTTAGAAGGGGTTACCCTGCTCCCTCTTGTACCCCCTCCACTTCAAAGCATTTGGTGGGCGAAGTAATGATACGTTATTTCTCGGCTATGGAAGTCCATTGATGAGTCAGAATTTGTCATTTTGAGTGTAACTGTAAACTGTAACTAGCAATTTTGTAAATATTTCGCATTCGCATTTCTGCAGCTGTTTTGTCTGCTAAAATTTTTAAATGTTTTTGTTTCTTGCAATTTTTTTGTGAATTATTAGGATGGCTGCTACTATAAATGTTACTTCGCGAAATCTAACTGATGTTTTTATTTTGATGAGGAACAATTCTTTACAAACAAAGAATATATTTTCAGATCAAGTAAGTCAAAATTATGTAACTTTTCAAATTTAAATAATTTATTGGATATTTGTTACTGTTACTGTATTAAAAGAAAACTTTTTATGTTCGAATTTTATTTCATCAAGTGATCTCTATGTGTTACACGGATGGCTTATAATTTCGATAGGAAAAGGCTAAATCCAAAAGGAGAAACAATTATGGGAGATAACGCACAAGCAAATTTTCCAATTCTTTTTTTTAAATTTTGGTAAATTCACGTTTATACTTATTCATCGATTGATAGGCGAAATAATAAGACATTCGAGGAAAGAACGGAGTAGTAATTATACAATCACGACTGGCAAAACGTTTTATTTATTTATTATTTTAAGTTTGACTGAAACCTATCTAAGAATTTTTTTTAAAAGTTTAGTTTCACTAAATAAATTTGTGGAACCCAACATTGTGCCACACTATTTCTGCTAAAGTATCTATTTTTTTTGATGGAATGAATTTACATGAGTGATTTTATGTGTAATTTGTACTATTCTTGTTATAAACATCAATGAAATGGGTTATAAGATTATCAGTCATGAGGGATATTTATCCTGTAAGAGTATCGTGATCTGTGGGGAGATTTCAGTATCTTGATCTGTGGCAGAATAATTGCCAAGTCTTGGCTACATCCGGGCAGCGGCCCGCGAGAATCTAAAAAAACATCACAGAAAGGGACCAACTCAAAATGTATAACTTGTAGCCACCCCCAGGCAAACATCTACAGGGTTTTTTTAGAAAATTTGCAAGTTTAAGATCTATTTGGCACCTTGACGATTGTAGTTGGTGCCACAGATCATGATACGGAAATATCTCCTGATCTGTTACGCTAGCTAGAATTGTCAAGTTGCCAAATTGATTTTAAACTTGAAATATCAAAAAAAAGAAAGTATGTAGAGGTTTACTTTGAGTTATACCCTTAATTATGGTTCTGTTCTGTGTTGTTATTTTTTTAGTTTCTCACAGGCAGCTGCCCGGAAGTTGCGAAGACTTGGCGATTATTCTGCCACAGATCCTGTAGTGAGTACAACACAATATGTAGAATTAAGAAGTTAATTTTGCCCTTTTTCTATTTTGGCAATGATGATGTTACTTTTGACAGCTGTCTGTACATGTTGTTTATAATGTTTCCTAACTAAATATTTAGCTGCTTAAAGTTACAACATCTACATTTATGTTGATATATTTTAATTTTAATTGATATAGACTTATGATTTCTTTCCTTTATACTTTTAAACACCAAGGAGTTTTTGTCTTTGTAAAATATGGTGTGGTTCGCCTGGGGGTGGCAATGAGCTTTACCCTTCTATTGAATCCTTTCTTTAATGATTTTTGCACTCGTGCTACTGCTTGGTTAGCACCGATATTTGGCAACTTTTTGGTCACAGGTTTCCATAAAAAATCTCTCCCCATTACCATTATTAAATTTATTGTGATGACAGTGCAACACCAAATACAGTACAGAACCCGTTATCCGGAAATCAGAAAACCAGAATGAAATTCAATACATGTTCCCGCCATTTTTTTCAAAAAAAAGAAGTTTTTTTCCTCAACAGATTTCAGGATTTTTCGTTCTTTTTTGAAAGATGTTTACCTTACCATAATTTTGGAAATAATCATTAGTGTATTACTTTATCGTTTTTTCTTCTTTTTAAGATAATTTCCAAATTTTTTTTTTAGTTGGGTTTAACAATAAAAAAAAAACGGCTTTTCGTAGCTATTCAGAAAACCGGAAAAATCAGTTATTCGGAATAACGATGGTCCCGATCGTTCCGTATAATCGGTTCCCTACTGTATTTATAATTCTCATTCTAGAGTCCCGTAAGTTGTGCTAATTTTCTTAGCTATTGCAATTGTTTACGACTCTGTGGTTAGTTTAAGAGGGTTTAAGGCCTATAAGATTTAGTTGCATATAGTATCAAACTTCCTAGAAGTTTATTCATAATAATTAAATTTTCAAAACAATAGTGTTTTAAAAATAGATATTATTAGTTAGTTAGATTAGTTTTGAGTTTTATGCATGTTTTATATGATCTTTTAGATTCTTGATGACAAGGTAGCATTAGTTTCTTCAAGGGAGCTGGAAAATGGACATGCTTTTTCTCGGTCCTTGGATTTACCTCCAATCTGGTTTGTTTGATATTTTATTTATTTATTATTCATTCTTTAAAATGGCATAAGATTAAGAGAGATCGTTTCCCTTTACTTTTTATATTTATAAAATATTTATTATTATTGGTTTTAATAGAAGTTTTTGTTTAAAAAGTTTTTATTTTGTTGCAAGTTTTTATTCGTCTAATTTATTAAGTTTTTATTTTATATCAAGGAGCATTGGTAATGTACGGAAGGTATATGTATCCCTCAATAATAAGAAATTTCAAAATGTCCTACTATTATTTCAGTTAAATAAAAAAAATTTTCATGACTGGGATATGATTGATATTTTCAAGAATATCAATTGTTGCTTCAGTGTTTGTTATTTTCAATTTTAATTATTTTTCTTCTAACTTTATTTTATATCTGTTTTTATTCAGTTATTTTTCTGTCATCACAAATTCAATGAATGACTGCTTGGAAAACTTTATAACAATAATAAAAACTTTGATAGCAATTAATGGAAAAACCTATTTTAGTTCGCTATCAAAAATTCTCCTTGTGCATGTATGTAAAAAATGATACTAGATAAATCGAGTTATTTAAGGTCAATGGGATTTTACTTAACACAATAAAATATTTGTAGTCTTTTTTGTCGCATTAAATTTAAAATGTACTGAAAATCATGAAATGTGGTTGAATTGGGAACCCATCTTGAATTCTTCCTATTTTTAGAAGGCATTTTAATGCAATCTGAGTTTGTGAAAATGAATTTTATGTAAAAAAATTATAATAAAGTGAAATATTTTTCAAAAGTTTTTGATTTTAAGTTTTAAAATGGCAAACTTAACATTATATGTTTCATTTTTTAAGTTGTTTAAATTTTTTTAATAATTCTTTAAAAATTTCTAAAAACATGAAATATTATTAAAATAATTAATCATTAGTGCACTTTTTTTGTGTGCGTAGAGAAACAAATTTTTGAGAAGTTGTTGAGGGGCAGTAATAAATCAATCTGTACTATTACCAGTGAATAGTTGCATTTGAAATGAATGTTATATTGTTACTTAACAGAAGCCACTCTTCTGAATTTATTTATAGTTTTTTGGGATAGAAAAAAGAGCTAAGTAAATTGACTTTTTGAAAGAGATTCAATATGAAATCTGAACATTTTACTTTCACTATGGTCAATACTTTTTACTGCATTGGGATATTTTAATAGGTTTTCATTTGCATTCGTAACTCCAAGTTAAATAGGAATGTGTTTCATTTATTTTTCCAATTTTTTTATTGACTCAATGTTTCTTTTTTATAATGTCATAGTTATTGAGATCAGTTTTCTATACAATGTGCTTGTTATAATCAGATGATCATAAAATTTTTTTAATTTTATATTTGAACTTTGTTAAGCGGAACTATTTATTTAGAACTAAGAGAAATTAGGAATTTTATTTACATACAACTTATTTTTATGGCAATTTTATTTTTCGTTTTATGTGCTATTCAACTTTTTACTGTTACATTTTAAATTTTTAATGATTACTCCATTTATTTTTGTTACAGGGTTGAAGGCATTGAGCATGTGAGTATACTTTGTATTCTGTTTTATGTAAGATAAGTTTTAATTAATTTTTCTGAAATAAACTATTTGCTTTTAGGTTCAATATGAAATGAGTAGAATCAATCAAAAATGTAAGTATTAAAAATTGCATTCATCAAGTGATTCAATTTTTTTCAATGTATGCTTTTTTTTAATAAATACTGTTTTACTTTTGAAGTTCGAGATGTCAATTTTTTCCCTTCAGGAACTGAATTTCATTATTCTTACTTAAAATGTTGCTTTTTCTTATTTTCTTAATTTGGTGGAAACACAATTCTCAGTACGCTTTCCCCTTGTAGTAATAAATTCTAAAATGAAATTTATTCCATCATTTTTAATTCCTTGTTACACATTTTAGTAGCTCTGAAAACAGAATAATTATTAGAAAAATATATAATTAATTTGCTTTTGCTTCAATAAATAATTCAATATGTATGCATTGTTTAGTTTAATTTTGAAATTAGATGTATTATCACATTTCATTTAACTTCCTCTCATGTCTGTTTGTGAGGGTAAAAATTTCTATCAAAGTTTCAACCAATTTCCATTTAGCTGTAGTATTTAAATTTTAATTTGAGCTCTGTGCCAGATTATAATTCAAGTTTCAATCAGTTTCTGAGTACTAGAAACATAACTTTAGCCAATAAAATTTTTCACGTCTTTCCAACAAAGAATAAATAGCAAAAATAATAATAATAAAAGGGTTTTAAAAACATTATTTCACTAAGGGACTAAAAATAAATAATTTTAGTTTTTTAACATTTAAAGCAAAATATTAATGGACTCATCATTTTCACAATAAATTTCAGGCAGCATCTTGCCTTTTTTTAAAAGTGTTGTGTACCATGTATTTCTTTTCAATTTGAAATAAATTAAATTTTAGTTTAGGTTTTTAAAAATCTTTTATTTTCATTCTATTCAGTTTTATTGTATTAAATTGTGATATATTATTTCCATTTCCTGTAGTGCAAGAGCTGAAAGCTTTGCATGAAAAAACTGTTACACGCCCATCTTTTGATGATTCTGTTCACGAAGAGAAAGAAATAGAAAATATTTCTCAAGAAATAACAAGAGTAAGTAAAACAAAAAAGAAAAAAGCTTTACATTTTTCCTCTTTAAATTTTTATTTACCGCCTACTTGTGTAGGAGTTAATTTATTCACTCCCCCCATTTTTATTTAAATTTTGTTTGTATTCAGTGTGTAAGCTTGTCCTGTTCTTTCACATTCGTTACTAATGGAATTTTTATTTATCACGTTTAAAAAGTTGAAAAATTGTACAGTAGGGAACCGATTATCCGGAACGATCGGGACCATCGCTATTCCGGATAACTGATTTTTCCGGTTTTCTGAATCGCTACAATATGCCGTTTTTTTATTGTTAAACCCAACTAAAAAGAAAAAAATATTTGTAAATAATCTAAAAAATAAGAAAAAACGATGAAGTAATACACTAATGATTATTTCCAAAATGATGGTAAGGTAAACATCTTTCAAAAAAGAAAGAAAAATCCTAAAATCTTATGAGGAAAAATTTTTTTTTTTCTTAAATAGCGGGAAAATTTATCGAATTTCGTTCCGGTTTTTTGGTTTTCCGGTTTTCTGATTTCTGGATAACGGGTTCTGTACTGTATCTAAAATTATTTTTAGAAGCAAATATAATTCAATACTTAGTTCTTGCCATTTAATTTAACTATTTCCTCTAAATAAGGAATGAGTTTTTATGGGATGGGAAGAAAGACATGAATGTAAAGAACTGCATGTATGAATATATATTATATTTATTTTACATAATTATATGAATGTGAAGCTATCTAAATAAGTGAGTGCACAAGATCAGTGGGATGCATATCATTTTGGATAATAAGCATACAATCAGAATTATGTCTGTAATTTTATTGCAAGTGTAAAAGTAGTTAACCCATTTTTAATTGTAATTTATTAAGTTCAAGAAAGTCAACCAGTATTTCAGAAAATAGGGTGATATTTGTGGAGAAAAACTTTGACTGTAATGAATTTTTGATCTTATGATCACATACTAGCAATCGTTAGAAAAAAAGTCATATTGATACATGTTGTGATCTCTATTGATCAATGTTAAGATTTGTTAATCCATTCAATGTATTTTAATAAGCATTAATTTAAAAGTTATAAAAATTAAATCAGAAGTCTTTTGTTGATCTGAATTGAGCTCATTCAAAAATATGAAGATGGGCAAATTTTTCCTAAAGAGAACAAATGATCAAAAAAAGAGCTTCATAATGTTATATGTACTCAGCAATTCATTTCTTTTCAGCTACAATTAATAACTTGGAAAGTATTATAATGGATTATTAATTTCGATTCAGATAAAAATAAGTGTCATAACATTGATTCAATTTTAATGAATGAACTTTAAAAATAAGTGTTATTCTATAATAGAATTGAAATATTAAATTTTTTTTTTTAAATGAGCAAACAAAATGAATAATAAGTAAAACCTTTCTTCTGGTTACAAAAGAAACAAAAGAAAAGTTTTAATGCTTTTTTTTCTGGCTTAAAATTTAAAAACAAGTATACAATAACTATGCATTATTTTTAAATATTCTTGATTTTAATGTATTATTTCTTGGTATGTAAGTCAAGAATTTGTTGTATAATATTGTATAAAACTGTAATTTCTAAAATATTATCTCTCATTATGTGAATTATTTTCAGATGTTTCATCATTGTCATAAGATAATTCATCAAATTCGTGAAAGAAGCCGCGGTTCGACTTCTCAAGAGTATCAAGTCAGTCAAAATGTGTTATCCTCTTTAGTCAGCTCTCTGCAAGAGCTTTCAACAAAGTTTCATTCAGCTCAGTCTGAACACTTACGCCGTAAGTTTAATAGTATTTTGATTTCAATTACATTCTAATTTTTCTTTTTTATCATTTGACACTATAAAAAAGTTACAAATTTGATGCTGGTTAACACAGTTTACTTAAAAGTTTTTGTGTGGGAAAGAGTTCATCTCTTGAAATAAAATTTTATATGTTAAAAGCCTCCAGTGGCTTATATTTCTCATTCTAAAACACTCTTAAACACCAGTTTTAACTTCAATTATTATTTTTATTGTAATTTAATTGCATACATATTTTCAATATATGGAAAGAGATTAAAATCAATTGCATCAACTGGTCTCATTAACTGGCAAAGTTCTTCTACAACCAATCATTTATAGATTCAGATTGAACACTTATGATAAGTTTTTAAATGATAATTACAACCTTTATAAATAAAAAACTAGTGTTATTCATTTTTGCTTGTTAAATCCATTTTTTCCCTTCTTTTTTTAAAAAAATAATTAAGATCTAACTGAGAAGAATCTCAAAATTTTTTAACGCACCATTTCTACAACAGAACAATGATTCTTCTGTATTTGCTTTACAAGAGGAAAGTTTCAACCAGGTTGAAACTTTGAGTTGTTGTATCAGGTTGAAATTACCTGGTTGTAAGCATCATTTAAAAAGATTATTAGTTTTTAAATGATACTTATAACCTTTATTAATGAAAAACTAATGTTATTCATTTTTGTTTTGTTTGTTAAATTTGACCAATCTAATTTTTTTAATTCTTTTTCTGAAGAATTAAGATCTAGGGAAGAAAAATCTCAACAATTTTTTAACTCACCATTTCTACAACAGAACAATGATTCTTCTGTATTTGATGCTTTACAGGAGGAAAGTTTCAATCAGGTAATAATTTTTCTGTATATAAAAATGAATTCTTTTCATTAATAATTATTTAAAAATTCTTTTAATTGCATTTTTTTCAGGATTCAATTCTATTATAAGTATCATTATAACCTCTGATCACTGAACTGTTTAAATGCCTAATTAATCCTAACACCTTAAATTTTAAGAAGGGAACTATTAACCTTTTTCTATGGCGTCTGATAGTAGTTGTTATTCTGGATCGTGAGTTGTACCAGCTGTAAGTAAATAGTTAAAGAATATCTAAGAACAATAAAAGAAGAAGAAAAATTATAAAAAAATTTTTAAGTGTGTTTTTAACAATGTTCCATTTTTGTCAGAAGTTTTTTTTCATTGTTTTCAAGGAGGAAAAGAAATAGTAAGTGTATTAAGTAAATAATGTACTAGTTATTGTAGTTATATTTTTGTACAGTTATTTCATTATCTAATTATTATTTTATATATTTCTATACACCTGCTTTATTTTTTAGAAGTATTGAAAATTTAATTAATTGGTGTTTTGACCTCATAAATACCATTAATATTGATTAAAATAAATGTTACTTTACTTGTTATTTACATGAATATCAATGGCCATGATATGATACGAATACCATGATAGGATGTTTACATAAATATCAATGATCATGGTATGATTTAGACATCAAAGTCAAGGTGCAGGACATTTAAAAATACACTGCTTTTGTCGCAAGAGACTCATTGTTTTTTGTCTTCTGGACTCTAAATGTTGAGTTGTTTTTTGCTGTATAAAATCTAGCCTGAAGCAACAGTCAGTTGTTTTTGTCAGGGCGTATGTATCTTTAGGCATGTCCTAGACATGGTGCTAAGAGCAAGCAGAATTCATAATAAGGCAAATAGAAAAGAGGCACATTCTTTTGATCCATTTCCATATCTTTTCATAATTTTCATTTCTTTTGATAGTGTCTTAGTTTAAACTCAAGTTCTTACAATTCTTTTTCTCTTCATTCTTGTGTTGTTCATTTGCTTTACTAACTGGAGGTTTAAAAATAAAATATCCCTCTGTTACAAAATTCAATATTACAAAAGAAATGTTTTACAGTAGAAGATAGTGATATAAATTTTTTATAATAGAAGATAGTGCTTTTAAAAAGAATTGTGGTAAATGTCTATATGTGTAATTCTGTACAAAAATGTTTTTACATTTTTTTTCTGAATGTATTTAACTTGTTTTTCAGAGCTTTTTAAGTGCATCTGATCAGCAAGTAATGATTCAAAGTAATAACATTATGGTTGAACAAAGGGAAAGAGAAATCAGACAAATTGTAAAATCTATATCTGAACTTAATGACATTTTTAAAGATCTGGCATTCATGGTTGCTGAGCAGGTTGGTATTTTATTTATTAATTTTTGCCTAAAAATGCCATTCTTATATTTTGCTACCACTTTTCTCATTATAATTTAGAAAAGATCTTATTTTAGGTTTGTTAATCACTAAAATCATTTCTACTATTAAAATGATCAATCAAAATTAAAACAGTCAGTTTCAATTAGAATTGCTGAGGATTTGGAAATGTAAATGTCATAAACTGTTTAAGTGGCTCAGTAAAAAATTTAAAGGAAAATAATTGAAGAAATATCTTATGATGAGTGCATTCTTTTATAGTGCTTGATTGTGTGTTTATAGACTTCAATTGTGTAAAATTACAGTATTGTGTGTAAAAGTGCCCTTTTTGGAGAAATTTATTTAATGTAGTTAGGTCATTTTTTTTGTTTGCAATATTTAGATGTCACAGATTATGTTTGACAAATTGTTGTAAAATTAAGGTTTATTCTAGGACTTTTTTTTGTTTTTAACTTTTTGAAAACTACAACTTTAACAATATCAAACCTTAAAAAATTTCAATAGTCTCATTGAACCATATCTGTTGGAATTGAAGGTGTAGATAAAATACCTCTCTCAATGTCTTATTTATTAGATTGATGCAAATTTTTCTTTCAATATGTTTTTTATAATAATGGTTATCTATGGATGGACAAATTTAACTTAACTTAAAAATATATTAATTATCTGGGAAAAGAACATCATGAGGGCTATTTTTTGACAAGTCAGAAAGGATGATGTGTGGTGAATACAATTAAACAACGAGTTTCAAAAACTTTTCTTTTAAGAAACATATGTTATATAGCTATGTTTATACTAAGCATATAATATAATAATTACTATGTAAAATTGAAGTAGAATCAAATGGTTGGAATACTTGGAATGAGAACGGAGGTACAAAAAAGATTTTTAAAGGTTGACAACAAGGGAGACTTGAAGAGTTTGAAAATAAGAAAAAGAAGGCAAGAGGCAGAGTCAAGTTTATTGAGAGGTCATAGATTTTAGTGCGAGGGAGTTAGGTCAAAGAAGTTAAATTAGTTGTGAAGGTGCAAATGAAACACGGAAATGATGACAAGCTGCTATGTATTTCAACTTATCGAGATAATCTCCATTAATCCTTCACTGCGTCCCTTTCCATATTTGCAAAGCTACAGCTTGAAATAGATTTCTTCATCAGGATTTTTTATTATTCCATTGAATACTCAATGTCCCTACTTCTATGCTACTTAAAAAGTGGTAGAAAGAAGGCAATAATATATTTCAGTATATGATGTGATACATTGGGTCATATGTTTTTTGCCTTAAGTGTTATTTTCAAAGCAACAGAGAAGTGTATATCTATGAATATAAACCTATTTATATACATTCTGACAAAAAATAAACTAAACCAAAAATACCATTTTGAAAAATCTAGCTTTCTGAACAATACTAATTTTAGATTTGAAACCCCCCCTCTCGAATTATGTAAGATCAAGTACCTGTATAACTGGGGCAAAAAAATTTATTTCCAGTGATATAACTATATTTTTCAGCTTTAGTTTAATTTTTAATCTTATTCTAAAGATTATGTGAGTCAAAAGTTTAGGCTGTTTTTAATAATTTAATAAGTGCAATTGTTTCGATTACTTCAATGTATTGCATAATCTGTCCTGTAATTGTGGGTTATTGTTTAGTAGAAACTTTTGTTTAATGCTTTGCTATGCGTTTATAGCTCTTTGATGATAGGTACAGTAACTTTTGTATATACAATCGTCTTCCATTTAAATAAAATATCAGACTAAAATAAAAATTGAGCAATATATAAGGCTGAAATTTAAAACTGTTCTTTGTTCAATATTTACATTTCTTAATGTAATCTAATTGTTCAAGTGAATGTAGACTTTGCTTAAACATATGTCATTACAGATTTTTATATTATCATTGTAGGGAACAGTGTTAGACAGAATTGATTACAATCTAGAACAGGTGCAGACGCAAGTTTCCTCTGGTTTGAAGCATCTTACAAGGGCACAAACTTACCATAAGAAGAATAGAAAAATAGTATGGATAATGTTTCTTGCTGCTGCTTGTGTAGTTTTAATGATAATGCTAGTCATTTTTAAGCTGTAGCTTGTGAAAAACTATGTTTTCCCAACTGATGATTTAAAAATCATTTAAAAAGTTGCCAAATAATATTCCTTCCTGTTTTACATTCCAAAGATAGCTCTAGTATATCACTAAGACTCAAATCTTATATTTTTTAAGGTTATTCAACAAGTTATTTAATTTTTAAAACTTTATTCTCCCCATTTTTGAATAGTCAGGTAAGTTCTTGTGTGAAAATTATTTATAAATGTTAGGTTTATTGTATCATGTGCAATTTTAGATCTTGATAGCAGTTAAATGAAAAACTTCCAGTAGAAAACGCGCTATACGATTTCCAAATTATCATTTTATTTAGTTTGAAAAAATGCCTTTTGAAGCCCATTGTAATTCCTTTTGTCAGTGATGATTTTCAAACTTGTTGAATAGTCATGCATTTATTTAGCCTAAATGGGTAATAGTTTTTATGAACAATCGATCAAACTTAAAGCAGCTAAAAAAAAGTTGCCATTCTGATTTTTTGCTTGGAGTCTACTGAGCGAAGTATTTTACTTGTCACATTTTTTAATTATATTGTTTTATCAGTTTTATATTTTAGTAAATAGGTCCCCATGTAATGTGTGAAAATTAAAAGTAGGCTATTTTGAATCCTCATTTGTTTCCTTATAAAGTTTATAAATGGAGTAGTAAAGTTTTAAGAAAATAAGGGTTATCTTTAAGTTGCAGAATAGTAAAATTAATGAACATTTGAAATTCTAATTTAAAGTTGCTGAGATGTAGAAATAGTATTATAAATGAAAAATCAGTGTTTTCATCATAGAAAAAAAATGGGTGAGAATTTCTCACCCTTTTTCAAAAACAGGGTGAGATTTCAGAAAGTTAAGTAAGATTTCTAAAAACTATAAAAACACTAATAGACTTGAAAAAAAATCATTTCTTTTATTATAATTCATTTTAACGTCTTCTATTTTTTATTGCATTGAATATTTTTTCCGCATCATCATAGAAGATCCATCTTACATCCATCTTACATTAGTGCATAAAAAATTTGAACGTCTTACATGAAAAAACCTTACCTACGGTAAACACGTGGTTGCAGAGAAATGTGCTCCGAAAAGGGATTCCGTGATTCGGAGGGGTTGTGTTCTGCTCGAAAAGGTTCTGAAAAATACTGATGAATAGGGAAGCTAGATAACGGGGCAAATGTTGAAAATAATGAAAGATCCAGGAAGAAAAGTGAAACTGATTTTATTCTAAATGGCGTAATTCGAAGCTTTTTCTAAAATACGAGAAATTCACGAATTTTGAAATTGGTTTATAAAATGCGCGAATTTCTCGAGGTAATAATATTTTAATGCGAGAAAAGAAAAAATATGTGAGATTCTTGCGTTCTCACGCTGTTGTGAAAACACTGAAAATAATACTGTAATATTTAGGTAATTGCTATTTATTATGGTGCTTATTACGAAAGAATGTTAGTTTGGCTTTTGAAAATTCTGCAAGTTTTTTGCTTCGTTTTTGTTTTCTAAATATTTTAGCCCAACAAGATACTGCTTTTTCTCCCTCATAATTTACAAACTCTGTGTGTTACTAATATGGAATTTACAAAACTTGTAAAGCAAAAAGTAATGGACTAGACTTTTGTGTTAATATTAGAAACCTCTCTAAAACACTATCTCTATTATAAGCTTTGAATCAGGTTATATAAATTTACAAGTTTGTTTCTTTTGATTGTATAACAATGAAAGCAGTATTTAGAAAACTTGCAGGCTGTTAATTGTTTTGAAAATATTGAGTAGGTCCTGATTTGTAATTTTATCTGTGAGGCTGATTCTTTAACAGTCTACAGTGATTTTGTTAGATGAAAGTAACTATTGATATCAAAGGATATGTGCTGGGAAACAAAAACAAAACAAAGAAGAGTCTAAGAGATATTTAAAAATAAACTAACACTTTTAAATTCTGTGTAACTTTTTNTTCGGAGGGGTTGTGTTCTGTTGCTCGAAAAGGTTCTGAACAATACTGATAAATAGAGAAGCTAGATAACGGGGCAGATGTTGAAAATAATGAAAGATCCAGGAAGAAAAGTGAAACTGATTTTATTCTAAATGGCATAATTTGAAGCTTTTTCCAAAATGCCAGAAATTCGCGAATTTTGAAATTGATTTATAGAATGCTTGAATTTCTCGCGGTAATAATTTTTTAATGCGAGAAAAGAAAAAAATATGTGAGATTCTCGCGTTCTCACACTGTAGTGAAAACACTGAAAATAATTCTGTAATATTTAGGTAATTGCTAGTTATTATACTGCTTATTACGAAAGAATGTTTGGCTTTTGAAAACTCTGCAAGTTTTTGCTTTGTTTTTGTTTTCTAAATATTTTAGCCCAACAAGATACTGCTTTTTCTCCCTCATAATTTACAAACTCTGTGTGTTTAATATGGAATTTACAAAACTTGTAAAGAAAAAGGGATGGACTAGACTTTTGTGTTAATATTAAAAACCTCTCTAAAACAGTATCTATATTTCTAAGCTTTGAATCAGGGTTATATAAATTTACAAGTTATATATTTATATTTATTATATTTTCATTGTGATTGCATAACAATGAAAACAGTATTTAGAAAACTTGCAGGCTGTTAATTGTTTTGAAAATATTGAGTAGGTCCTGATTTGTAATTTTATCTGTGAGGCTGAATCATTAACAGTCAACAGTGATTTTGTTAGATGAAAGTAAATATTGATATCAAAGGATCTGTGCAGGGAAACGAAAATAAAACAAAAAACATTTCTAAGATAAATTCAAAAATAAACTAACACTTTTAAATTCTGTGTAACTTTTTATTTTCACACATTTATGAAGCCTTGTTATTAACAATTTGCATAAATGGCAAATTTTGTGAGAGGTTTGACTTCAAAGCTGGCTCAATCCTATTTTACTTACTTAACTAACTTAAGGCAAAATAATTATGTCTTTATTTTGAAATTTAAATTTTTTATTTTTTAAATATTTTTATTAGTTTTTTCCATAAGTATCAGAGAAATAAAAACTGTAAATGCTTTTACATTTTTTTAAAAAGCTAAAAAAAAAANAAAAAAAAAAAAAAAAAAAAAAAAAAAAAAAAAAAAAAAAAAAAAAAAAAAAAAAAAGAATAAGCACTGATGTCTAACTACTTTTTTTTAAAAATATGTTATTAACCAATCGTCTGTGATTTTTTAAAGGAAATAAGGTAATTTATCTTCTCAAGTTCATTAGTAAATTGCCTAAAAATTTTAATTCTTATTCATTTGCATACATTATGATTCTTTTTGGTAGCTTGTAATTCTTAGACTAATCTGTATGCAGAAATTTACGTCTCCCAAATAAAGATACATATTTTGAGAGCATGAAATTAAACCATAACTCAATTTCAAAAATGTTATTTATTATTTTTTTTAAAAGAACCAAAATTTATAAAAGTTATCTGCATATTTCATATGATTATGAATGAATAACTGACACTCATTCTCTTATGAGAACTAACTCTGACTCCAAGGTGCATTTTTAATCAACATTAAAAAGAAAAAAAGCTATCTTATGTTCCTTTTAAAAAATAACCAACAGAACTTAGTTTTTTTCTGAAAATATCTGAATTGGGTAGTTTGTATGAGAGATGTGTTATGTTCTACAAAATTTTGAAAAAGGATTGGACTGAATTCGAAATCAAATGCTTTAGTTGCAAAACACATTTAATGTAATAATAAAACTAAATTATTGCAACATCACATTCTAATATGAAGCTTAGTTTAATATGATATGTATATATAAAAAAATTGTGTGCTATATGTGCTATGAGTGGTATATTCTAATAAAATTGTATCGAAGTTATTGTAAAAATTATAGATATTGCACTACAGAATTTTAAAAATTGTTATTACTGAAGTTTTATGAGTAAGCAAATTATGCTTATTTGTATTATCGGATAATATATATTATTAACTAAGCAAGTAATATTATTATTCAATGTTTTTTGTTGATAATACTAATTTTTAATTATTTGTCTTAACAATGTAACATTTAAAAAAAAAGTTTAATTTAATGTTGATTTTAATCACTCATTTATTACAAAAGCACTTTTATATGTAATTAAAAGAAATTTTTGCTCACATTTTTGTTATTATATTTACTGATGTTTTATTTAAAATAACTGGATTTTATGTACATATTTTATTTTTTATTTAAAAATGTTTCACATGTTATCTTTTCAATGTAAAATTTTGTAAATTTGGAGCATTTACTTGATTTAAGTAAAGTATTTTTCTGTAGAATTTTAGAAGCTATAAGGGAAATTTTTTAATTTATTTATTTGCTGTTGTGGATTTGTATGTTTATTTAATAAATTTTTTTTCATATTTTATTTGTTCTAGTATTTTAAAAAGTGTTTTGATGCTTAAGCTGTTTTATTGAAAAGGAGTTCAAAAGTGATTGAATGTTTTAATGCATTTTGATTGAGAATAATTTCGCTAATTTTGAAATACCTTAAGAAAATAAAGTATCAAAATTATATACGTTAAGCTTATTTTCGGAGCTTGTAAAGTACAGGTTTTATAATTGTGTACAAAAATGTTTTAATTCACTTAAATAATTCTGCAAATATTGCCAAATATAGAAAAAGGGAAATTAACAAATCCAATCTAATTGTATAAGTAAAAAATTTACTGAAGATTAATGTGCAAAGAAATTAAAATGACTTTGTTTTAATACAATGGGTCTTATGTGTTTCTAAAATTATGTCTAAAAGTTTAAAGGATTACTAATTTCACATTATTTTTTTTAAAAATCTATAATAATTTTATGTAAACATTTAATGCTGTAGTTTATTAAAGCAATTATTGACAAAATATGTTATTATTTTATTTAAGGATTTAGTTTCATCAATAACTTATACAACTGATATTTTATATACCTGTCTTTTGTATATGTCCTGTGACACAATTTGATTTCTGGCTTTTTTTTAAGATGATTATTGAAGTGAAATCTTTGTATTATTATAACTATGCTTTTGGTTTAAAAGAACATCAGTAAAATTATTGAAAAAAATACGAAAATGATTACATTTAAAGAAGTTATGTTGAAGTTATATGAAAATGTTGAAGTTTTGTCACAATTGTTGCATAACTTTATTTTCACTTATTGCGCAGAAATACAAAAGAAGTTCTAATGATAAAAACTAATGGCGAACTGAAGGGTTTTTGGTGCCAGTGCTATATTTACTTTTGTTTTTTATGTTCAGTTTAGTTATAGTTAGATTAAAAGAGTGATAGTTTCACATTGCCTGTGATATTATGTGGTTTTAAAATAACAAAATTCTGTAAATTTTTTAAATCTCCTCTTTCCCATTCCGTTTAATTGAAGAATTCATTTCATATCAATTGTTGTTCTATTTTGTTAATAGTTTTTTCTAATTATATGAGTTTTTACTGTGATATCTATAAGGAAAAAAAAACTTACTTGTTTTTGACAATAATTACTTGAAAAACTTTCTTTAGATTAAAATTCTTTTTAAGTACTTTTTATTTATGTTAGGTTTGAAATGCATTTTAACTACTTGTTAGGATTATATGCTACATATTTTTCTAGAGTATTATTTTCACAATATTTGTAAGTTATTAGTTATTAAAGTTGTTTAAGCTGTATAGCAGGCCATTATCAAAAGCACTGTTTCAAAGAGTTGGTATATGCTTCATGAAATTGTATCACTATTATATTAATGGATTATATATTATATATTATTACCATATCCAGTCATATATATTATTATAAAGAGTGTCTGAAAATAAGTGAATTTTTTTTTCTTTATGTATAGTATTTATCCTTTGAGTTTCTCAAAATTTTAAAATGCTTTTAAATATAATTTAAAATGTTTTCTCACT